ATAGTAGCTGAGGAGTGTGTGAGTGTGAGTTTGTGAGTGTAAGTGTGAGAGTGAGAGTGGCTGTAAGTGCAAGTGTAATTGTAATTGTGAGTGGAAGTTGGAGAGAGAATGTAAGTGTAAGTGTGAGTGTAAGTGTGAGTGTGTGTTAGTGTGAGGGGGAGGGGAAGGGGGGGGGAGAGAGAGAGAGAGAGAGAGAGAGAGAGAGAGAGAGAGAGAGAGAGAGAGAGAGAGAGAGAGAGAGAGAGACTGCATGTGTGTGTGCATGTGCATTAGAGAGACTAAGAAGACTAAATATAATAATATTTGCTATATATTCCAATATAAAATATCACAATATTTCATATCATACAAGTCCTAGAGTAACATTTATAAACATATGTGCAAATGTGTCTTTGCATGTCATGGGGTGCAAAGGTGTGTGCGTGTGTGTGTGCGCATGCATATGAACATGAATGTACAACTTCAAGTGCCTATGTAAATATCAAATGAATGACAAGATCATTTAACAGAAACTTACAACAATAACAGTGTCACTTATATTGCGAACTCTCTCCTTCTTGTCATAACGATGCAGATCAATCACCAATCGCAGATCATCAACAGGATGTACAAGATCACTTACTATGTAGACAAACAACTGTAAAAATAAACAAACAATATTAATAAGATTCACTTACTCTACTTCCATGAAATCTACCTATCGAGCTGCTAATGTATAATATCACAGTTTTGAAAATATAATTTAACCAAATCCCAAAATATAACAAAAATTATTATTAAAATGTATAAATTTATAAACAAACAAACGAAAAAAGATTGTGTATATATTAAAATATATAGAAAAAAAAACATGCACAGGGAAAAATGGTATGACTATATCTTCTCTACAAAACATTATGAGATGCTATCTAGCCATATGAACTATTTATCAAATACAATGAATGTTTTTTCCTGAACTTGGTTGGTTATTTTTCCTTTATCTTCCCCAAATTGACTTAAATCTTCACTTCCTTCGAGGCAATATTAGCAAAACAGAAGAGAACAACTACCAGGAAATAATGATAGGAAAAGAATATCTTTATGATGTAAAACCTTTTCTAGTACAACTCTAAAATGAAAGTTTTGAATCCCAAGACATTCTATTTGTAATAATGATAGCTGACAAAATGCACTCTAATGTTTTAATATTGATGTACACAATCTATCCAATCAATAAAGTTAAAAAGTTGGATTCAGAGGAAATAAAGCATGACAGCAGTCTATAAATGTATACCTTTTCATTCTCCACATACATTGAGACAAGGACTGGATCAAAGAATTTCTTTACATAATAGTGAAGCATCTTCCAGCGACCACCATACTCTGGAAAATCAATGAACAATAAAAAATAACACAAGAGAAGTTTCGAGAACTGGAGGTTTCAACTATACATACAGTATGTGTGTACCTGTACATGAACCTAGAATTTTATGTCTGTCTGTGTCCCTTTCCTTGTTCATGTCTGTGTCTCCAACATGTTTATATCCATGTCCATGACCACATTTATGATCACATTCATGTCCATGTCTATGTCTGGCTATATCTACATCTAAATGCCACTGTCTGTATGCTGATTTTTTTCCCATAACAGTAGTACCTATAGAGGCCCAAGAAGCTCCCTGCCAGATATCATTTAGCTGCCAGTAAAGAGCTCCACTCGTATATCCTTCTCCTTTCTCATTCAGCTCACTCATCGCACGACGGTAGAATTCTGTTTCAGTCTTTATAGCCACTGCCTGGTGAATCTGTTGGGAGTAAGCATTTGTTAAAATACTAGTCTATAAAACTCAGCATTAATAAGTATACATATAGATAGATTGAAAACACACCACAATTCCTATACAGGCTCTCTGATTCTCACGTATTTAGTATATCAATTATGCGTCACCTCAACCAAAAGCTCTTCTGAAGTCATTTTAAATACAAGCTTCACAAGACTTCGCAAACCATAGTACATATCCTCCCTCCCACTGAAGACATCTCACACATCACACCTGGCTGAGATAGAGATAATATTCATAAACTTCAACAGATCCATCTTGGGGAGGCATGTGCATATGCAACCCAATTTGCAATGCGAGTTCTGCCTGTCCGCCTGGGTGGTGTTGTCGGTGGTACATCATAGCTGACTCTCTATTCCAGTCCTCTTCTGTAGTCACAGCCTTCATTGTCCTGATAACAGATTTGAGTGATTGGTTTAACATTATGATTTACTTTAATCATTATAAAAACTAATATTCTCTATCAGTGATATTTCTTTTTCTCTTTTTTTTTTCTTAGGAAAGAATATGAGGTCTTGCACTGTGCCTGTATACATACCTGAAGACAGGCCAAGACTGGAAGCCGTACTCAGAAGCAAACCTTGTTCTTGGCGTAGCATGACCAAGCCAAGCATCACTAAGGTAATTGTAGTAGTGGACTGTTACAGGGAAAGGAAAGGATGAAAACAAAATTAAATTATAATAAACAGACAGACCATATCCTGAGATGTTATACATAGCAACCAAATACATATGGTATACTCAGAGATATCCACAACACCATAAAATCCTTCAAATTAAAATGCTATATTCATTCAACTCATTTATATTCAATTCGACATGAAAATCACAAATATATTACATCACAAGCATAAAATTCAACTAACCATCACCATAGAGTGTACTGTATGGATTATTGGCCACGTGACCTTCTTCCTCCGATTCAATACCATTGTTTGGAGAACTTATGACAAAGGGATGACTGTCATCTGTTTCCACTGCAACTGTTTTTATTGTGTCTACATACAGCTTTATGTAGTCTCTCTTATAGAGTTCAAAGTCTGATGCTGTTCCATACCTATTAAAAATATGAACAGATTTCTGATAGACCTAGGTCTTCTGTTGCACCATAAAAATATTAAAGACATGTATACCTTCCAAAATGATGAGGTTAAATACAATTAACTTAGGGATTTTAAACTAACTTCCAAATCAAAGAACTGGAAAAAAAAATGTAGCATATTATTAAACAGATACTAATGAACTTCTCAAACTAACATTGGCTATTGATGGCCTTTTAAACTTACAAAGGATTTAAACATTTATAGGAAAAAATGAGTTCATATGTGTGATATCAAATGTTCCTAATTACATTATCCATTATATCATATGAATGGAAAGTAGTTGCAATTTGTGTTATATACTACTAATAACTTAAAACAAATAATGAAATATGACATGAACTAGCCATCAACTAAAATGTTGATAAAGACATCCTATTAGGCTATTCACAAGTGTAAAATCTGCTAAGGGAGAAAGATTCTACAAAATTACTATATTCCATCAATAAATTACGGGTGCACAGAGTTGAAAAGCATAAAACTGGTATGCAATATATCAAATATCAGATGACTAGGTAGGACCAAATCCAGGGGGTCGTGGGGGCTCTGACCCTGTTAATTGTGAATGGCATAAATGATAAGCATTTTCTATAGCTGTTGAGTGAATAAGGATAAAATTAGAAATTACTTTGCAACAATAATATTGTGGATAAATAAATTAAAACCTCATACCAGTTGCCCCTTAATGCTGCCTCATTCTCATTGTTACCAGCCCAGAGAAGAATGCTTGGGTGATGTTGAAGACGTTGAATCTGCATTTTGATCTCCATCTTCGTTGTCTCAAGGAATGGTTCATCGACAGGGTACATACTGCAAGCGAACATGAAGTCTTGCCATATCAGAAGTCCAAGCTCATCAGCAATCTGTTGAAGGTAAGAGAAAATAAAATATTTAGTCCCGTGGTTAGAAAGAAATTAAATAAAGAAAAGACATGTGATCTAAAGGCATTTTCTACATTTTACACAATAGCTTCAGAAATCGAAATCCCACATCACTGTCTTCCGCAACATAAAAAAACAAGTGAGAAGGCAGATATACCGCAATACCTCATAAAAGACATCAGTCTCGTAGATGCCGCCACCCCACACTCGAATGCAGTTTTGATGTGTATCAGCCGCTGCCTTCAAAAGTTCCCTTGTGTATTGCTCTGTCACCATCTCTGGCAGCACATGAGCAGGTATCCAATTGGTGCCTTTCATGAACATTGTAACATTGTTCACTATCACCCTATAGTGCCGACCTGTGGAAAACAGATTCCATCACTGCCGATGACATTGTGAACTTTATTTTCTTTATAATGAAAATGTTTGAAGTATACCAAATATAATGATGAGTTTGGAAGAAAATAATAATAAAGAATATGTTTATCCTTATACTAATTTCATCTAAAATCTTTTCCTCAACAAACACCTTCCATCCCATAATAAGAAGTAGGGATAAGGTTTTAAAATCTCCCCTTAAAAAAAAAAAAAAAAAAAAAAAAAATCACCTTTTGTTGGATCAGTCTCATTGACATAATCTTGGTTCAGATCTACTGTTCGGAACCCAACCCGCACACTTGCTGTAGACTCTTCACTCTGGTCCGTATTCTTCCAGACGGCCGAAAGTTCGTATAAAGGCTGGGAACCATAGCCATTGGGCCACCACATGTCTACTTGATTCTGGGAGAGTATCCAGGGAAAAATATTTTTATACAGTTAAGGATAAGTTTTATCTATGAAAGTAAATCCTATTGACTTGAAAATTATAAAAAGAAATTTGTTATTCATAAATAACTCTTTTGTGGGTAGCAAAGTGGGTACTACTGGAAAAAAGTAATCTACAAGTATTCTATGGCCTTTTAATAACCATAAATTCCATACTGGAAACTTTTGTTATTTTTCCTGCCATGAAAATGAAAATTACATTAACTTACCTCTTCAAGGGTGAAATTGAAGGTGAGCATTGTCTCATAATTTTCAATGACGGCAGTGACTGTATACTTCATGCTAAAGATATCTGCCAGAGACACGTAGACACTTCCCTCCATTTGTCCTTGTTCGATGGCCGAGTCGCACAGCACCTAAATGATGGACAAAGTGGTAAAGAAGACGTTATTGTACTGTCTCCACTGTCTCCACGTGTTAATATTTACTTTTTATCACATCTGAGAAAATAATTTGCTTGATGAAAGGAAGGCTGTAAAAACATATAGTTAGACTAGTAGTGTAGTATATCAGGTATCACATTTCTGTCTGGAAGCAATATTTCTGGTAGCTGACAAACATAATAACTATGATGTTGTTGTTTTTGTTGTTGTTTTTGTTGTTGTTGTTGTTGTTGTTGTTGTTGTTGTTGTTGTTTTTGATGATAATGATGATGATGATGATGATGATGATGATGATGATGATGATGATGATGATGATATCAACAACAACAACAACAACAACAATAACAACAACAACAATAATAATAATGATACTATTAACTAATAAAAATAATAAAATATAATAATGATAATACAACAACAACGATTACAATTACTAATACTACAACTACTACCACTACTCCTACAACAACAACAATCATAAAAAATATATATAATAATCATCACTTTTGTCTCAAACTTAATTCGAGCTCTAATGGCCTGCATTACCCATAGAGAAAAAGATTTAGAAAATCCTCGCATCAGAAACCTATACCTTCACAGTGACATCCCAGCCGGGTTTGAAATCGTGGTTTGGGACGGAGGGCAGAGCAGATGTTGGATGGGCAGCAAACATGATGTTTTTGACGAGCAAGGAGTTCCATCCCACTAGGTGCCAGTCCTTCCTATCATGGAAAAAATACATATAGTTATGATCTGAAGATTATCTACTTATGTATTCTTTAAGGAAGAAATGGGAAAGTCATATATAATAATGATATTTGCATTATGATGACATATATATCATGGATCCTTTGGAAAAATTACTGAATTACATCTAAGTACCAAACAATTGTTCATGCATTGATGCCTGTCCAAAATACTATAATTTAGGTGTTATATCAAAGCTATGCAGAAAGCTAAAAAATCCCATGATCATTCATGTTCAAGCCACTTATGAAACCCCTAAGGGAAAAAACCATTTACACCTTTCACATACCATATCCCCAAATTCGCGAAGGCTGGACCCCAATCCCAGCTGAAAGAGGCCTGCATCTTGCGAATGTGGTTGGCATGGCATATCCCTTTGAATGCTGGATCTACACACTTTGGTGGAACTATGTAGTTTACAGCCTGTTCGTTGTACTTCTGGGTGGCGTACTCAGCAGGTGATCGGAATGCAACATCAAGGTTTACTGTTGTACCCTGAGAAGAAAGGAGAATTAGAGTTATATGTCATAAATGGTTATGTAATGTATATTTTACTCTTCTTTATCAATTTACAGAAAAACACATCTTAAATTCCCTTACAGTGCCACCCTCTCAGGCAAAAGGCAAAAACACATTACAGTTCAGGAAAAAAGTGGCTATACAATGAATAAATTTACACAATACACTTATTCTTTCAGAGTATAGGACAATCCCCAGTATCTTCCAGCATATATTCAGCCAAATATAATTCTAGTTTATTTCCTTCTCACCCCTTTACTCCCAGCCTTACAAACCTCTAGATAATCCTTCACATCGAAGACATATCTGACAAACATGTTATTAGACTCCCCCACGGTCTTAGAGTTAACCAAAACCTCGGCTGCTGTGTCTAATCCATCAAAGATCAGCGCTACTCGTTCATGTTCCACTAATTTTGGGTCAACTGCAAGAGAAGATATTGCATACTATCAATATCAGGTCAGGTCAGAAATCACAATAAGTATAAGAATAAGAATAGAAGTTGTAGTAGTAGCAACAGTGGTAATAATAATAGTATTCATAATAGTAATGATAATACTACTACTACTACTACTACTAATAATAATAATAATAATGATGATAACAACAACAACAACAACAACAACAACAACAACAACAACAACAACAAGAATAATAATAATAATAATAATAATAATAATAATAATAATAATAATAATAATAATAATAATAAAATAATAATAATAATAATAATAATAATAATAATAATAATAATAATAATAATAATAATAATAATAATAATAATAATAATGATGATGATAATAATAACAGTAATAACAATGATACCATCATAATAACAATAAAAATAATAATAATATTGATAAAAATAGTGACAATAAGATTATCAATAATAATAAGAAGAAGGGAAAAAAGATAAAAATGATAATGACAATAATGGTCTTATCAACAATAAAAACAATAACCAACAATAACAAATGCAGATGCAAGGAAGATAAAAATGCAAGCATACCATCAAACGTCGTAGAATAAGTCCAGTTATCATTGGCTACCCAGCGGTACTCGAAATCATTGTAGCGGTAGTAGAAGTCTCCCCCCTTCAGTACATTGGCAAAGAGGAGGTCCGTGTACACCCCCCCTGGCACAGTCCCTCCAACGCTGATAGCTGCGGATAGAAATAGTTCCTCACTACCCTTATTTATCACATAGTCTGGTCCCTCCAACTGATAGCTGCGGATAGAAATAGTTCCTCATTACCCTTATTTATCACATTGTCTGCACTCCCTCCAACGCTGATAGCTGCGGATAGAAATAGTTCCTCACTACCCTTATTTATCACATTGTCTGCCACGGTCCCTCCAACGCTGATAGCTGCGGATAGAAATAGTTCCTCACTACCCTTATTTATCACATTGTCTGCCACGGTCCCTCCAACGTGGATAGCTGCGGATAGAAATAGTTCCTCATTACCCTTATATATCACATTGTCTGCCACAGTCCCTCCAACGTGGATACCTGTGGATAGAAATAGTTCCTCACTACCCTTATTTATCACATTGTCTGCCACAGTCCCTCCAACGCTGATAGCTGCGGATAGAAATAGTTCCTCACTACCCTTATTATAACTTGTCTGCCACAGTCCCTCCAACTGATAGCTGCGGATAGAAATAGTTCCTCACTACCCTTATTTATCACATTGTGCCACGGTCCCTCCAACTGGATAGCTGCGATAGAAATAAGTTTATCATCAACATTCTTTATCACTCGGCCAGTGTGATGCAGCCTAGAGAGGGTATATAATTAGAAAAAATTAAAGATAGTAAATTTTGATTCATAAACATGAGATCATATTAAAGATACCAGTAAAATATTATCAGTTAGAATAATGATGATAATGGTAATAGAATAATAATGAAGATAATGATAATATTGGTTATTAAAAAATAAAACAGCAAGAACAATAATAATCATGACAATTGCAATAATGATAAGGATAATAATCTTGATGATAATAACGATAATAATAATGGACATAATAATGGACATAATAATATCAATGATAATAATAATAATGATGATAATGATGATAATAATAATAATAATAATAATAATAATAATAATAATAATAATAATAATAATAATAATAATAATAATAATAATAATAATAATAACAATAATGATGACAAAAATTATAATATTAATTGTATAATAATATAATAAATCATCATGATTATCATTATTATCATTATTATTGTCATTATTGTTATCTTTATGATTATCATTACTTTATCATAATAATAATAACATAAACAATTATAACAACAACAATAACAACAACAACAATAATAATAATAATAATAATAATAATAATAATAATAATAATAATAATAATAATAATAATAATAGCAATAATCATCTTTTCATCATGACCATTATCATTGTAATCATCATACTCATAAGCAAAGGATGATAATGAATATAAAATAATCATCATGAATATTATAATTATTATCATATCGTTATCATTATCGTTATCATTAATTATGATTGTTATTATTATTATTATTATTATTATTATTATCATTATTATCATTAATATCATTAATATTAATATTATTAATATCACCATTAGCATTAGCATCATTATCATTATTACTATCATCATCACCATTGCTATTACTATTACTATTATCATCATTATTATCATTATTACTATTTTTCATCATCATCATTATTGTCATTATCAGTAACATTATTATTATTATTATTATTATTATTATTATTATTATTATTATTATTATTATTATTATTATTATTATTATTATTATTATTATTATTATTATTATTATCATTATTATTATTATTATTATTATTATTATTATTATTATTATTATTATTATTATCATCATCATCATTATTATTATAATTATTCTTATTATCATTATCATAATTATTATCATTATCAATATTATTTTTATCATCATTATTATTATCATTATCATGGTTATGTTATCATGATCCTGATGATGATAATGATTACAATAATAACAACAATGTTGATAATAAAATAAAGATAATACTCATAACAATAACAACAATCACAACTACAATAATAACTACAACTACAATCATAACCATAATGACGATGACGATTGTAACACCTCTAAAACCTCTCCCAGTTCAAACCTCATCCTTAATTATTAACCCCCATAATATACCCACATAAACAGAGGCGGCACGAGGTGGCATCTGCCCCCGCCCCCCCCCCTACAATCTAATTGGCCACCCCTTGTGCCCCCTCCCCAGTGGTCATTGACTCATCCTAATGGCTCCCTGTATATATAATGTGGCGCCCCCTCAGATTTATTGTTCGTACCCCCGTGTGCCCCCCACCAGAAAATTCTCTGGACCTGCCCCTGCATGTAAGTACATGTATGTACTTACTTCCATTTCCATTCCTCAGGGACCAATTAGACTCTATCATAATTATCGTGTCATGTGACGTGTGAGTGCTGGCATAGGCGGCATAGGCGAGGTAACTGGCAACAGCACACATCACGGCCACACATAAGAGGACTGGGGCATACACACGCCACCATGGTCCTTCTCTCCGGGCCTCTCGCTCACGGTTCAAGGGATTGGGGACCATGATTTCTCTGTTTTTCTGTCTTTTTCTTTCTCTTTCTCGTATTTCTATTTCTCTTTCTCTTTCTCGTATTTCTATTTCTCTTTCTCTTTCGATTTTTGTTTCTCTCTGTTCCTATTCCTTTTTTTTCTTTTTTTTCCTTTCTCTTTCTCGTTCACCCTATTCCTTTCTCTTATTTTTTTTCTTTCTTTCTTTCTCTCTGTCTCTTTATCTGTACATTGCTTTTCTTTCGTTCTTCCTTATTTGGTTTGATGTGTATTTTAGTTCTAATTTTTGTACAATATTATCATTTGTTCGTTTCATTTTCTTTTCTCCTTTTTTTTTTTGGGGGGGAGGGGGTACTTCCCGTTATTATTTTCGTTTTTGGTATTATGGGGTCACATTTGATATATTTTCAACTTGAAAACTCCTAAATTACAATCAAAGTTAATGTGATTTGTATTACAGGCAGTGTAGGAAAGCCAGGATTTGTGTTCACGCTAAATTACCATATTTTTGCCAATGAAACGTTTGGCCATAGAACGATGACCTTTTGGACACGAAAAACACCATCACTTAAAAATAATTTTCTTCTAATTTTGCCGTTTTGAACCTGAAATACGCTTAAACTAACACCACACCCTTCACAATAATCCTTTAACAATTACATCCTATGTGTAAAAATGGAAATAATATTCATAGTCTCAGGAAAATCACTTTCTGTCCGCCATTAAGTAATTTCAAGAAACATTTTGAAAGTCGAGTATATTCCCACGCTCCCAGGACACTAATGTCAAAAGGTGTACAGTGGCTAAACAGACGCCTTATCTTTACTGATAGCTTATCTCCCTCGATTCTCTTCCTCCATGTGTTTCTTTCTTCAACTTCTTTATCTATGACAGTGGGGACAGTGTGAATGTGGGGGCGTATGGATAACTGAATGAATGTGTGTGTGTGTGTGTGTGTGTGTGTGTGTGTGTGTGTGTGTGTGTGTGTGTGTGTGTGTGTGTGTGTGTGTGTGTGTGTGTGTGTGTGTGTGTGTCGTGCGTGCGTGTGCGTGCGTGCGTGTGTGTACGTGCGTGCGTGCGTGAGGGTCGGGGGTCTGGTGTGCTCCTTGTGGCCAAATGGAGTGTTCCCACCATACATCCCGTTGATCCAGTCACAAGCCAAATTGAAATCGAGAGAAAATTACGTTTTTTTTTCCTTAAATTAGACACATTGTAAGCTCCATAAATTTTCCCAAACAACGTCTTTGGCGTGATAACATTTTTTTCTTTAGTGAATATCCCAAAGCTATATTATTAATAGCCCCAATGACCTGCACTATAACTGAAAAACTGTGAACCATTAATGTAAAGAGAGAGAGAGAGAGAGAGAGAGAGAGAGAGAGAGAGAGAGAGAGAGAGAGAGAGAGAGAGAGAGAGAAGAGAGAGAGAGAGAGAGAGAGAGAGAGAGAGAGAGAGAGAGAGAGAGAGACAGACAGACAGACAGACAGACAGAGAGAACTCAAAATACAATATACTTACACCCATTTCCGTTAGCCAGGGTCCAGTCAGTCTCATACACTTGATGACTATACAAGGCCTCGGAAGCGGAAATTGTCCCCAACAGCAAAATTATACATAGTCCTACGTCCATTTTGAAGGCAAGTTTCATCATCTGTTCAAGAGAAAGTTATTACATCGTTATAACAGGAGAGAGTATAGTCTAAAATCCTATAAAAGAAGAAAGAAGTTATAAAATGATGACTATTACAGATTAAAAAGTTTTGTGGTTTTTTTTTCTTCGTTTTTTTTTATTCGAAATTAGATGTTGGCTTGTTAGTGATCTTTTGTAACTATGTTTATGTTTTCTTTATGTTTATTGCAAGATCTACATTATTGTAGTCTCTAACATCGTGGAGTGCACTGTGTGTATGTGTGTGTGTGTGTGTGTGTGTGTGTGTGTGTGTGTGTGTGTGTGTGTGTGTGTGTGTGTGTGTGTGTGTGTGTGTGTGTGTGTGTGTGTGTGTGGTGTGTGTGCGTGGGTTGGGGGGGGGGTCTATCTGTCTATCTGTCCATTAATAAATATCTAATATAAGATCAATATAAGTTTGCTAATCACTACAATCTCTACCAATATACACGTTCCCTCACATCTTAAAACCGAGAAAATATCCTGTTTGGTCTCAACTAACCTCACCGATCGACCGTTGGAAAAGTACTCGAATTGACACCAACAAAAGAACTCTCTTTATATAGACACAAAAATACTATTTGTGAGAAAACCAACACCTGTCAGAGAGAGATAATTTACCCACGTTGAACTCTTGTGAAGGGAAATTGTTTATTGAACTTGGGTCGTTCTGGTCCAAGTGGACGTTGCATGATCTGTATGCATCTACCCCCCCCCCCCACACCCCAACACACGCACGCACGCACACACCACACGCACACGCACACGCACACGTAAACGCACACACACACACACACACACACACACACATATAATATTATATATATTATATATATATATATATATATATATATATATATATTATATATATATATATATATTAATGTGTATGTGTGTGTGTGTATATATTACATATGTGTATATATCAC